TTACTGATGCAGGCACAAACTTATATATTGAGGATATAACTATTTCTTGTTGGGTTTAAGTGACCATAGTTCCTCCCATGGCTGGATACATGGAAGAGAAGGGTAGGAGGGGAATAGAGCAGAAGTGCAATGCTGCCTTTGAAAATAACGAAATAAATGATTTGCTGGGAGAGTTGTTTTTGAACATAGGTCAGAAAACCTGGAGAAAGTGCCGTCCTTATATAGATCTTTAGAAGTGTTAATGCCATGGTGTTTCCACTGTACATACGCACCATCAGTAATACCAGGAGGAAATAGATAATTCTGTATGATAGGCATAGTTACTGATGCAGGCACAAACTTAAAATGACTCATACTGTGACCAAATATCTCCTCACCCTGGGATGCTTCCTCTCCCATAAGAATGACCTAATAGTCTGGTCCAACTTAAAAAAAAAAAATCTTTAGGCAAAAATACAGGAATGACCTGAAACAGAAAAAGTAGTCTAGACAAAATATTCATCTTAATAATGTTAATCTGACCGATTAGAGACAGAGGCAAAGATTTCCATCTCTGAAGATCTAATTTAATCTGAGCAATCAGAGGAGAAAAATTGGATGAATTTAAGGAAGACAAAGTACGGGTCACATTGATTCCCAAATATTTAAATCCTATGGGGCTGAATCTAAAGGGAATATCAGATTGTTTAAGTTTACAGCTTAAGGAATTTATAGGGAAACATTCACTTTTAAAAAGATTTATTTTATATCCTGAAAAGGAGCCAAACTTCTTCAACAAGGATATAATTGGTGGTATACTAGGCAATGGATCAGAAACGTATAAAAGCAGGTCATCTGCATATAAAGACAGTTTCAAATCAAGACGTGATCGAGAAATACCATGAAAACATGGAAGGGTTCGTAAAGCTATTGACAATGGTTCAATAACAATAGCAAAAAGTAGGGGAGACAAAGGGCATCCCTGTCTTGTACGACGTGATAATGTAAAATAGCTAGAGGAAACGTTGTATGGATACTGGCCTGGGATGAATTGTACAACAGTTGAATCCATGAAATAAATCAGTACTTGAAACCAAATTTATGTAAGACAGCAAAGAGATAATCCCACTCCACGCGGTCAAAAGCTTTCTCAGCATCAAGTGAAATAACTACTTCTGGACTAACGGTAGAGTGTTGGGTTAAAATCACATTCAAAAGTGTACGGACATTAAAAAAACAACTGGCGGCCTTTAATAAAACCATTCTGTTCTTCTGAAATAATAAAAGGAAGAATCTTTTCGAGGAGAGTTGCTAAAACTTTAGCTAAGTCTTTAACATTCACATTAAGAAGTGAAATAGGTCTATATGAGGTACAAGATGTAGGGTCTTTAACTTTCTTTAGAAGGACAGTGATGAGTGCCTGTGACATTGTGGGGGGCAATGAGCCACGTTCAATAGATTCATTATACACTGAAAGGAGTAACGGAGCTAATTTGTCTATAAATGTTTTAAAAAATTAGACTGAAAACCCATCTGGTCCTGGTGCCTTACCATTGTGCATAGTTTTAATTGCGCTCACCATTTCCTCCAATTGAAGGGGTGCATCTAATTCCCTGGCTATGACAGGATCAACAGTAGGCACTGTAGACCTTTAAGAAAAGAGGTCAATTCAGATTTCTATAAAGAGGAGTAATATTGTTTAAACACTTCATTCACGTCTTTTGGGTCAGAAACCAAGTTGCCTGCTGTGTCCTTAATCTGAGTTATTAATTAAGATGGAGCCTGACACTTGAACTGATGAGCTAAGAGCCTACTCGGCTTATCACCATGTTCATAATAAGTTGTGCACCAACGAAGTAGGAGACGCTCAGTCTCTACTGTAGAGAGCAAATCAAATTCAGTCTGCAGGTCAAGTCGTTTTTTTATGCAAATCAGGAGTTGGATTAGCCACTATCCGTCTGTCTATGTCACAAATTTGTGTAGTTAAATTTTGAAGTTTGGCTTTATGATCTCTGCTGGAATGAACAGAGGAAGAAATTATCTGTCCACGTAGATACGCTTTAAGAGATTCCCGTAGTAATGATCTTGTAATAGTGTAATTTTCATTAAAGGCTATATTTTCAACGATTGTGGATTTGATATAAGCAATAAATGCCTCATCTGAGAGCAGCAAGGAGTCGAACCTCCATGGTGAGGAAAAAGAAGGCTGGGTTATGAGTTTAATATCAACACTAAGTGGTGCATGATCAGAAATAACCATTGGATGATATTCAGATGACAATACTTTTGAAATGAGAGAACCGTCCACAAAAATATAATCTATACGTGAAAAAGGTTGATGTACCGGAGAGAAGAATGAATAGGCTTTGGCAGTAAGGTTAAAAAAACCTCCAAGGATCCACAAATCCATTCTGAAGCATAAAGTCTGAAATAGACCTGGACATAGAGGACTGGGTCAGCGTCCGGGGGTTTGAGCGGTCTAACCTGGGATCAATAACACAATTTAAATCTCCAGCCAGTATCAAAAGGTGAGTGTCAAGAAAAGGGAGGCTGCTCAACAATTTGTCTGTGAACCCTGGGTTATCAAAATTGGGAGCTTACACAATGACTAACAACACAGGGACGTTATAAATATTGCCTACAACAATAAAGTAGCTCCCATTTTTGTCAGCTCTAATCTCTGATGCTTGAAACTGTAGTTTTTTTGCTAATTAAAATAGCCACCCCTCTGGCTTTTGAAAAAAAACATTGAATGAAATACCTGTCCCACCCATGGACACCTGAGTTTAACTTGGTCGCGATCTCGTAAATGGGTCTCTTGTAAAAACATTACATCACCTCTCAGACGTTTTAGATGTGAAAATATTTTAAATCATTTAATGGGGCTATTTATACCCTTTACATTCCAAGTTAGAAATCTAATACCACTACTATCTCCTAAGTTTTGACCTGGAACACTGGTCATCAAAGACTACTAAGAAGAAAAATGAAAACATCTTGCTTATTTTATTTTTTCCCCTTCTCCCTCCCTCCCCCCATAGGAGGAAAAAAAAATAAAAAAGGATACATTCACACATCCACACAAATCGAAACAACAACAAAAATATACTGCAAAATAAAAGGAATAACAAAACATCGAACCCAACGGCCCCCCCGCAGAGCAAACGCCCCCATCTTCAGGTGATGGAGACGGCAGTGCAAACTCCCAAACGGAGCTGTCAAAACAGAAACGCTCCCGACTAGAAAACAAACCAAAACCAACAACAGAAGTCCCTACAGAGTTATTTCTGAATGAAATGTAAGGCACAAACAAAAAAAGTTAAAGTAAAAATTGTCCAACTCCATTAAACAAGCAAAACAAAACATTTTCTGGCAAAACAATAGCTCGTGCACAGTAACAGTAAACTCAAACTCACCAAAATGAAGTAGTTTGGATCTGTAACTATCCCAAACAAAAGTAATATTATCCTGGTGTGTTTTTACTGTGTAGTTATTGTCTGAACATACGCCTTAGCCTTAGCCTCCTCCGGCGAGATGACGTCACGTCGCACTCCTTCATATGTGATGCGTAATTTGGCCGGATGGAGAATGACGAACTGGACTCCCTGGATGTCTCACAGCTGGCAACGAACCTCATTAAAGGCAGCACTGGCTCGTGCAGTCTTAGCGGTGTAATCAGGGAAGATGGAGAAGGTCATGTTATTTATCTCCACCCGCTGCAGCTCTCTGGCCTTCTGAAGAATTTTAATGCAGTCCGCGCAATAGTGCAGCCTCACTTTCATGGCACGGGGGGGGGGGGGGGGGGGGGACCACGGGGGTTGGGTTTAGGGACCAGAGTCTGATGGGCTCTGTCCACGAGCGGATCCTTTTCAAGTCCGAATGCCTCTCTCAGAAGTGTAGACACGTCTGTAGTAGACAGGATATTTACTTGTGGCACACCAATAATGCATGTTATTACGGCGGGACCTGGATTCTAAATTCTCACACTTGTTCTCCAGTTTAACCAGCTGCTGCGACATGGTCTCCACATTGGCTTGAAGAACAACAATATCATCTGTGCATGTTGACAGAGACTGCTCCATCTCTGCAATGGTGCCTCTGAGCCGAGAGAATTCTTGCCGCACCGTAGCAATATCAGAGGAAAGTTCAGCTTTTAGGGTCTGAATTTCGGATTTAATGGATGAGAGATTCTCCCCGAGTGCTGCGTGCAATTCCATTTTAAACATGGCTGAAATCCCTTCACGAAGTTCGGAGAGAAGTTCACTCTTTGTTGACTTGCCCACATAGACAGGTGGTGTGTCACATGTCCCCGGTTGCGGTGAAGTTCGACCATGAAGTGAGGATGTAGCGCCAGTAGCAGGCCGCAGGTTGGGCTGAGAGGCACCTGCGCTTTTATTCTATTTTTGTGACTTTATGAACGCCAGAAATAAAAACAATCTTGTTTCAAACAAGTTTACTAAATTGTTGAAATAAGAAAAAAATCTACCAAATGCACCTAAAATATTGGATAACAGAACTCTGCAAGAACTGAGCTCAAGCGTGACCTACTCCATGTTCAGCTGAGCCGGAAGTCCTCCACACGGGCATCCTTGAATTAAATTAAATTAAGTAGGTTAGGATGTTCAGGAACAACTGAGGAACCAGCACGTCTCAAACCTGCTGAGCTTCATGTCACTTTGGACTAACGGGGTCGCCAAGAAGAAGGTCCAGCTCGTAAAAAAGGCTCTGCCGCCTTCAGCTGATCACACAGACACATTCAATGTCACGTTTAAAGGTTAAATGAGACATTTTGCTTTTTTTTGCCACAGTGATTAAGATAACTCTAGGACCCAGGAGGGTTTGAAACCTACGAACACTGCAAAAAGTCTCAAGCATGGTGGAAGAAGCATCATGCTGTGGGACTGGTGCATTAAACTAAGTGGATGAATAATAGACACCGCTCCATCTTATATTACAGATCTTATTGTTCCATATTTTCCTGACAGAGCACTTCGCTCTCAGACTGCAGGTTTACTTGTGGTTCCTAGAGTTTCAAAAAGCAGAATGGGAGGCAGATCTTTCAGTTGTCAGGCTCTTCTCTTGTGGAACCAACTTCCAGTTTCTCTCCGTAAGGCTGACACATTGTCCAGTTTTAAGACTGGACTTAAAACTTTTTTGATAAATCCTATAGTTAGGGTTGGCTTGGGTTTCCTGAGCTATCCCTTAGTTATGCTGCTATAGGTTTAGTCAGCTGGAGGACATATTGACCACCTTTCGTCTCTCTGCTGTCGTCTTTACTTGCTTTACTCTACCTGCTTGAAATGATTTCTATCTTAACATGAGTTTTGTCTTTCATCCTATAGAAAGTACATCTGAACCTGCCATTCTATGTTTGTCTGTCTCTCCTTCCTGTTCCTCTCAACCCCAGCTGGTTGAAGCAGATGTCCACTCTTCGTGAGCCTGGTTCTGCTGGAGGTTTCTTCCTGTTAAAGGGAGTTTTTTCTTCCCACTGTCTCCTTTGTGTTTGTTCAGGATGGGAGACTGTGATGAAGTGAAGATTTAACACAATCTGCTGCTTCCTTAGATAGAAAACTTCTTATAATTGGCTTGTTTCATGTATGTGAATGTTTCTGTTCAGTGTCCTGAAAGGACTTATGTTGTGACTTGGTGCTATAGAAATAAACTGAACTGAACTGAAAATGAAAGAGATCAACCTCCATCCAAGTTCAACTTCACCACAAATCCACAGCTGGCTGGTTAAAACTTAAATACCACCAGGTGTTCCAACAGGAGAGGGGATTTTTCTTTTTTATTTCTTAAATAATTACCACTCACCCATATGGTTATCTACAGTATAAGCACACATTTATTGCCAGAATAAATTCCTCTATAATAAATAAATGCCTCTTCTTTGTCCACAACAGATATACAGATGCTGGTTATAAAATTAGAATATTGTGAAAAAGCTGATTTATTTTAGTAAATCCATTCAAAAAGTGAAACGTGTATATTATATTCATTCATTACACACAGACTGATATATTTCAAATGTTTATTTCTTTTAATGTTGATGATTATAACTGACAAATTCAGTATCTCAGAAAATTAGAATATTGTGAAAAGGTTCAATATTGAAGACACCTGGTGCCACACTCTAATCAGCTAATTAACTCAAAACACCTGCAAAGACCTTTAAATGGTCTCAGTCTAGTTCTGTAGCTACACAATCATGGGGAAGACTGCTGACTTGACACTTGTCCAAAAGACGACCAATGACACCTTGTACAAGGAGGGTAAGACACAAAAGATCATTGCTAAAGAGGCTGGCTGTTCACAGAGCTCTGTGTCCAAGCACGTTAATAGAGAAGTGAAGGGAAGGAAAAGATGTGGTAGAAAAAAAGTTTACAAACAATTGAGATAACTGCACCCTGGAGAGCATGATGAAACAAAACCCATTCCAAAATGTGTTGGAGATTCACAGAGTGGACTGCAGCTGGAGTCAGTGCTTCAAGAACCACCACGCACAGACGTATGCAAGACAAGGGTTTCAGCTGTCAAATTCCTTGTGTCAAGCCACTATTGAACAAGAAACAGCGTCAGAAGCGTCTCGCCTGGGACTGCTGCTGAGTGGTTCAAAGATATGTTCTCTGATTAAAGTAAATTTAGCATTTCCTTTGAAAATCAAGGTCCCAGAGTCTGGAGGAAGAGAGGAGAGGAACAGAATCCACTTTGCTTGAGGTCCAGTGTCAAGTTTCCACAGTCAGTGATGGCTTGGGGTGACGTCATCTGCTGGTGTTGGTCCACTGTGTTTTCTGAGGTCAAAGGTCAACAGAGCAGTCTACCAGAAAGTTTTTGAGCACTTCATGCTTCCTGCTGCTGACCAACTTTGTGGAGATGCAGACTTCATTTTCCAACAGGACTTGGCACCTGCACACAGTGCCAAAGTTACCAGTACCTGGTTTAAGGACCATGGTATCCCTGTTCTTAACTGGCCAGCAAACTCGCCTGATTAACCCCATTGAAAATCTATGGGGTATTGTGAGAGGAACATGTGATACTCCAGACCCAACTTAAAAACTGGGTCTGTGCCCAAACCAATCAGTCCAGGTGAACGATCAACTATAGAAAAAATAAATGGTCAAACTTGAGCCAGTTTTAAGCCAGAAGCTTGTTTAAGGGCACAATTTTTTTTCATTTAGACTTTATTTATACAGGTTAGCCTCATTGAGCCACGAGAACTCATTTTCAAGAGAGACCTGTTTAGGGAGCACATGGTGGGGGTTAAGGGCCTTGCTCATGGGCCCAGGGTGGGGCGAATGAGGGTGGGGGCAAGTGTGGGTGTTTCACCTACCCCACCCACAATTTTGATGTTGTCAGGGCCGGGGCGTGAACCGGCGATCTTCGGATCACAAGCCCACCCTCTGCGCCACCACTCCCCCTAATTCTCCCACAATGATGTGCAGCTGGGCTGCAACGTGGCAACTTGCTGAGGAACACCAAGCAAACAGGTGGTGATGTTTCTATAATTTCGGTTCTTCTTGTCCTAAGCATTTCATTGCATTGTTGACCTTGAGTTGATTTTGAGATATATGTATATATATTAGGGGTGTAACAGTACGTTAAAATCACATTTCGGTTCGGTTCAGTTTCAAGGAGGGGTCGGTTCGGTTAATTTTCGGTACAAAAAAAAGATCTGGTCAGAACTGAACTCTAAAAGATGCCAGTCAAAGAGTGATACACAACAGGTAAGATACTTATTAGTTATCCTGACCTGTGGCTGTGGAAGTCGTCCAGCTTCTTCTGGATGTTGCTGCTGAGGCTGTGGCGGTAGTTCCGGTTCAACCACTTCCCCACCACTCCCATACCGTACTGACGCTTGCGTTTGTCAAACGCAAAGTGCTTTACTTGGGACGCGATGCGACGGCCACGACGAGGGGGAATCTTTTCTGGCACCTTGGTGGGTGTCTTGGGGGTTCGAGACACGTCCTTACTGAGAAGACAACCAGTTGATTAGGCAGAAAAGATTGGAGAGGTTCAGTTAACAGCTGCCACTTCTTGAATGTTTCAACTCGGAGATCATTTGTCAGAGATTTCCAGTAAGCATCAAATAATGAAGTGTCTGTTTACGAACAGTAAAGTGATGTGGACTCACATGCTGGGGAACTTCTGAACAGCCTGCTCCGAGGGGATGGAGGCAGACAAGGGGGGGGATTCAAACACATCGTCGGCCATAGAGTACATCTCATCGTGGACGTCCCCCTGCCCAGAAAAGTCAAAGAGCTGTAAACGGATGTCGAAGCTTCAGCGAGGCGGCGTACAGAGCGGCTGCTCACCTTACTGAAGAAGGACACGGACACATCGGCTGAATCCACCGTGTCCTCGTCCACCCAGCTGGGCTTGGCGAAGCTCCTCCTGGGGAAACTGCGAGCTCTCAGTGAGCCCGCTAAACCACTGCGACCCTGGACAGCCCCCCCCCCCCCCACAAAACAAGGGTTTGGACACGTGTAGTAAAGTTTACCATTTATCGTGTGAACACTGATTTTATTTTATTCATATGTTTTTCACAATCTAACTCCTGCATGATTGTGCCACTGTTTTCATTTGTACTTGAAAACGCTCAGTTCATGCAGGAGACGGATTTGTTTTTTTTTGTCACTTTTAAAGAATTTTACTTTATGTACAGTTATTGTCTCCATAGAGACAACAACCTGATTTGATACATTCCACTGAGATCCCTTTAATTCCTTTAAAATGTGGAAATGCTGATTCAGCAGTTTCATTATTGTTCAATCCGTAATCTGTTTAATGGACTTAAACCTGTACGTTTTTGTAATTAAATGACTTCCTCATACTTTGTGCTAATTTAATCCTTTAAATATCAAAACATTTGGTACAGTATAAAAAACTGGGCTATGACTTTAATTTAATTTAAATTTAGTTACCACTTTACAGTAAGGCTCTCCTTATAAATGGCTAATAAATAGTTTATAGATATGTTATTATTTCCTCTATAAACACTTCGTAAATCATTAATAACTGCTTATTATGAATTAAGGGTGACGGAGAGACAAAACTGACTAGTTTCTTGCCAAATAGTGAGATAAATCTGTTCACCTACATATTTCATCGAGTTGTTATATTAAACATTTCACACTAAGTTACTACCTTGTGAGCATAATAAGTATTTGTAAAACAATTTCTTTAGGATATAATATTGTACTTTATCACTGCATTATCTACAACTATTATATCCTAAATAAATCGTTTACAAATGCTTATTGTTCTCACAAGGTAGTAACTTAGTCTGAAATGTTTAATATAACAACTCTAGATGAAATATGTAGGTGAACAGATTTGTTTATTAGGCATTTATAAGGGGAGCCTTATTGTAAAGTGGTACCTAAATTTAATCATAAACATTTCCCCCATAAATATGATATATGTTCAGTTTCTTCAAAGACGTTTTCTAAAATCTACAGTTTTTGCTACTTTTAATACCGTCTTGCTAATTTTTGCTGTTAGCAACAGTTTTGCTTATTTAGCCGATTTGAGTTTCTGCTCGTTTTAGTCAAATTTCAGCTCATTCTTTAACAAATCTGAGCAAAGACATTTAACACTCAGCAGTCACTGCATTAAAAAAGCAATTTGTTTATATTCTATTATATTGTAGTTCAGATATCATAAAGCAGTTTTCATGGTGTGAGGGTGATTTTCCTACACTAGATAAAGACCTGTCACCTGTAGGTAGTGTCTACATTATAGGCTGTAGGAATAAAAAGAACTGCCCTGGTTCAACTTTCTACATCAGTGTTTCAGTGCTCAACGCACCCTCAGCAGGTTGGAGGCAGCTCGGATGCTCATGCGTGCGACAGACTCCCTTTTCCGTGGGGGGAGGCGGGTGTACCCGGAGCGCTGGCTGGTGAAGGAGCTGAGGGAGGTGACCCCTGGTGTGGCAGGAAAACCCGGAGCAGTGTGCGGAGTTCTGGGGGAGCGACTGTCCATCTCATCCGGGCAACGGAAAGCTCGTCCCCGTGCCAGGGGGTCCACAATCTGTGGATGAAACAGACGTTTTACAGGCTCAGTGAGAACGTTGAACACTTTTAACAAACTCCCCTTCAACTTCTGCTGTTACGTTTTTGCACCAGCTTTCTTTGATTGTTATCTACTCCCATGCTCCGTACACTTTGATGTTCGGCTGTCAGCTGCCCTTCTGCTGTTTTACCACTTCTGTATCTGCTGCCTCCTGGCCTGGTCATCTGTTCTCAGCTGACTAACCTGATTAAATAAAGGTCAATAATTATAGTTTATGTGAGCCTTTGTTGTCTTGACATTTAAAGAAATGTGCTCCATGAATGATGGTAAAATGTACCTCAAACTGGGCCTTGAACTCATCCATCCATCCATCCATCCATGGATGGATGGATGAGATGGATGGACAGATGGATGGATCCATTGATGGATGATTGGATGGATGAATAGATGAATGGATCCATTGATGGATGGATGGTAGATCCATCCATCAATGGATCCATTCATCCATCCATTCCTGAATCCATCCATCCACCCATCAATGGATCCATCCATCCATCCATCAATGGGTCCATCCATCCATTCCTGAATCCATCCATCCACCCATCAATGGATCCATCCATCCATCAATGGGTCCATCCATCCATCCATCCATCAATGGATGGATCCATCCATGGATCCATCCGTCCATTATCTTTACCTGCTTCTTCCTTTTCAGGTCTTGGGGGGCACTGGTGCCCATATCCATAAATCACTGTGCAAGAGGCGGGGGACACCCTGGACAGGTCTCCAGTCCATCACATGGACACAATTAGGACAATAGGGACAATTAGAGTTACCAATCAGCCTAACATGCATGCTTTTGGTCAGTGGGAGGAAACTGGAGTACCCAGAGAAAACCCATGCAGCACAGAGAGAACATGCAAACTCCACACAGAAAGGACTCGAGCTGGGATTCGACCTCTCTCGCTGAGAGGCAACAGCTCTACCAACTGTGCCACCGTGCCGCCTCCTGAACTGAACCTCATATATTATTCATGTATGTACACGATGATAACTGGATTGTACCTTTGGAAACTTGTGGGCGGCCGGTGAGTCCAGACCCTGGTCAAAGCTCAAGGTGGTCTCTGGCTCTCTGTACTGGGCCTTGAGCTTGCCATAGAACTGGCTGCAGTGGCGCAAGCTCTTCCTGTGCCATACCTGCTGCTTCGTCTCACAGTCTTCACCAACTCCAAACCAGTCGGCTGCATTCCTACAGGTTCACAGAGGAGACCAAACATTAAAAACAAACAATGAACACGTGTTTTTGTCTTGGAACTTCAGTCTGAATCTTTAACTTGTATCTATGTATTAGCAGCTTAGGGTCTCCTAAATTTAGACAAAGATTGGGCCCAAATGCTGCTCACACCTAGGGTTAACAATTTTATACTGGCTGCTCTATTAGTTAATGCATTTTGCCTATTTAAAAATGCATTTTAGATGTTTTAAAGTAGGTTTCTGGAAAAAAAATGAACATCTTTATCCATCCATCCATTTTCTTTACCCGCTTCTTCCAATTTTGGGTCACGGGGGTCGCCGGTGCCCATGTCCAGCATGCGAGGGGCGGGGTACATCCTGGACGGGTCGCAAGTCCATCACAGGGTCACAGAGACAAACGAGACAAATAAACATTCACTCTCTCACTCACACCTAGGGACAATTTAGAGTTACCAATCAGCCTAACATGCATGTTTTTGGACTGTGGGAGGAAACCGGGGTACCCGGAGAAAACCCACGCATGCACGGAGAGAACATGCAAACTCCACCCAGAAAGGTCCCTGGACCGGGGTTTGAACCAAGGACCTGCTCGCTGAGAGGCAGCAACTCTACCAGTTGCGCCACCGTGCTGCCTGAACATCTTTATATCTGATGTAAATAGTTTTCAGTTAAAAGAAACACTTTCTGTCCACAAAAACTTACAAGCTAACGGCTAGCTCATAAAAATAGCTGAATTTAGCTGCTTTAAAACAAATCTGACTTTCAAAGATAAAATGCTATTTTATAAACTTTCACTTTGTTGTCAGTTTTTGCATTACAGAACATAAATATCTTGGCAGAAATATTATACATTTCCTCCAGGAAATGACGCCAAGCGACACTGGAAGTGCTACAGCTAGTTGCTGTCGTCATAACTTATTAAACATACAATTCAATATGAATTCCATCTTCATCATGTGAAGCTGAAGGCAGTAACAATGTTTAGAAAACCATCCACGTGAATCACTGTGAAATAATTGAAATTGTTATTTTAAAGCGGCACCAATCCACTTGGGTCTTAGCTGCATTCAGACCAGCTGAGCTCCTCAGCCCTGCAGAATTTAAACCTTATTTCACCAAACACTGTTCAAACAGCTATCCACAACAGGTAAGATATTAAGGATCTATAATAAAAAATGTGTTATCTATAACTTTTATAACAAAAACCCATTTGAAAATGGTCGCAGTAGCCCTTCAAGCTGTCTGACAGCTTAAGTTCCTTAATAAGACACATACTGGCCAACGTCAGGAAGAGAAAACAGCTGCCGCAGCAGCAGCTTACTTCCGAATGCTCTGTGAAAGCGATGTTTGTCTACCGAACTTCTCCCTTCTGTATCTGCCCGCCGTTCCTCCATCTCCGGCTCCGTTCGGGCTCTCTGATGTCGAGCCAGTCGCTTCGCCGCTTGCAGCCTTCGTCAGTGACGGTCGGAGAAGCTGATCAGAAGAGAAGGAACAAAGTAACAGCTGTCTGCCCTACAGATCAAAGCAGAAAACACTAAAGCACTCGAACGTTACTTTGAACAAGTGTAGATATTTTCATGTTTTAACACATCTCACTGCAACTAAAATTGTGGTTTTATGTATTTTTAAGCACTTAGCATATTTTTTTACACGTCTACTGATTCTGTTATCTTTAAGGCCTGAACAGTGTTTATATGCCAGAAAGTCTGCGTGAATGGTCATCACAGTGGATGCCAATGATTATGTAAGTTTGTCTGCAATGGTTTTAGTTGACACATAATTTTTTATGAACTTTTCAACTTCTTAAACGTTTCAGTTTTTCTCCTCACCGTGTACATCAATCTTGTTCCAGTCAGCTCTGTCCGAGCTACAGATTCAACATTTTCAAACTACCGTGTGGCTTCGACAGCAATTAATGAGTTATTTTTAAAGAATGAGGGGGTCTAAAATATTAGAGTACTTGGAGCTAGCTGACAATAAAACTGTTCTCACAGCTGAAGCAGAAGAACAACAAACGCTGCACAGACCGACAGGGGCTGCACGGAGCTGGCAGGAAAACTAAAACCTTTGTTTTTAAAGCTGCTAAATGATTTAATGAAGATAGACAGGTTATCAGTTTGCTACATTTTTAATGAATAAGAATTTGAGGAAACTTTTAGACCAAACTGTGAGCCCATGCTTGAAAACACTGTGCTGAAGTTTTGCTCATCCTTGAGCTCTCATTCCATCAGCTTTGTTCTGTTTTCTAACTTGTTGTTTTAAGCAACAACATATACCGTACTTTTCGTACTTTTCGCTGTTTAAGTTGCACCTTTTTGCATAAATTTGCATGCCCTGTGACTTATACAGCAAAGCAACTTATTTAAATATATTTTCCCATATTTATAACCAATTTTTGTCTGAGATCTGACAATTTCATTCATTCTGACATGGAAAATATTGAACACCATTTTCAACCACTAGAAGGCCCTCGACTAATATGGCAAGCCAAGTGTCTCATTAATGGGTAAAAGTGGCTATTAATGAGACACTTGGCTTGCCATACCAAGCCACATTCGTCTCGCTCCGGAACTCCTGGAGCAAACATCAAATCAGCTGCATTTCACCGTCCAGGAGAAATGCAGCTGATTTGACCGTCAAAGTGCATCTATTAAGGAAAAGTTCAACTGAGGCACACCTTTATTATAATGATGAGCAAACAAATAATAGTTTTTAGGTGATTATCTTGTTAAATTCTTGTTGAAGACCTTCCGTGCATGCTCCCGTGGCCGCCATTTGGCAGCCAATCAATTTTTGGCACAACACTGTCCCACGTTTACGGGTGATCAGTGGTGACACATAATAGATGTGACTTATACCGCAAAGCGACTTATTGATGGTTTTTTCCCACTTAATTAGACATAAATGGTAAATGGACTGTACTTATACAGCACCTTTCTATCTAATCAAGATACTCAAAGTGCTTTACACTAGAATCTGTATCCTCATTGACCCATTCATCCAGCACTCTACTAGATCTCTACAAAGCTAATTGAACAAATCTTTCTAAAGAGACTAATCAGTGCTTTAAATCACATTCATACACTGATGGGACACACATCAGAGGCAAGGAGGGGTTCAGTGTCTTGCGCAGTGACACTTCAGCATGTGACTGCTGGTGGATTCGAACCCTCAACTCTCGCATTGGAGGACGACTGCTCTAACCACTCAGCCACAGCCGCCCCAACATATTTGGACTGATGTGACTTATACAGTGGTGCAAGCTGTATGGCAGCAAGTACGGTACTTAAATCTCCTGATTTCGTTTTGGTCCCTTTAGTCCTCTGCAGCAAAAGAAGCCCATCCTGATGGCTGGAAATCCCCTTAATGGGCTGCTTCACTGTATCCATTTAACTTCTGCTTTTTTAAACGCATCTCCTGTATTTGTGCAGATAATGTTAACAGCTAAATTAAAAAAAACAATAAGAAATTTATATTTAACTTCTACATGTACCGGTATGTTAAGTTATATATGCTAAAGTTGTATTAACTTTAGCAGGAGCCAAAGGTTTTCAAAGTTAACAAAAATGCTAATCTGCTACATGGAAAGTTAGTTTCACTATTAGCAGATTCATGGAACTGTGCCCACCACTGCACTTAAATGTATATAATTAATTTAATGTTACATATTTAGATCTAATGTGTGATGTGGTTGTAGCTGAAAGTTATTTACAACACATACTCCGAGTACTACACTTTATACAAGGTCTTTGGTGAGAAAAGATATCACCAGAAAACTTATGCAGGAGTTCACACTTCATTTGCACATTTATTGCACTGCTTTAGGAAGTAGTTTAACTGTAACCTGCTCAACTGAACTCATTACAGACCACTTAGTGCAGCTGAGAGCCACAGTTTGGGTTCTGAATTGTTCATTTCTGACTGGAAAGCTTTACAGGATGGTGTTTTTTTTTTTTTTTTGTTCCTGAACAGGAAGCATTTTACACCAACTTTATTCTCTTTAGGAAGGATTTCTCATTGTTTGAGCTCCAACTTCTAACTAAGCACGACAGCATCAATTTAAAATTACATTCTAAAATGCATACCACGCTGCATTATCCTGCGATGGAAAATATTCAAAAAAATAAATCAAATGATCTAACTAAACATCTAAATATTCAAGTATACAAATTTATGTTTTTGTCATTTAAACTATGTATTAAACACTTGCCAAAATATCAATAATTTTATATTAAACCACTCGTATTTAAAGCTTGTGTTGCCATTCTGCTTTCATTATTTATTATTTATTTACTTTACTTATATTTCAACATGGGCAGCTCCTCGGCAGTGAGTACCGCAGGGGTCCATTCTCGGTCCTCTTCTCTTTTTTCTTTATACCTGCTGCTACTAGGTGTTATTTTTTTGTAAACGTATTTTCATTTCTATGCCGATGACTGTCAAATTTACTTCCCTCTGAAGCACAATGGTGCACATTCTATCCTCTTCTTGACTGTATGGTTGACATCAGGGATTGGATGGCTTTAAATTTCTTAAATTTTAATGAGAAGCAGACAGAAGTCCTTGTTTTCACCTAATGGCACAGTCTAGAACCACTGTATCAAACTTTTCTCTCTAGCCCCATTAGAGAAACAAGTTGTCGCTAATCTGGGAGTGAAAATGGACTGTATTTGAAACTAAACAGTCATGTAAACATGATCGTTAAATCCCGTTTGTTTTTCAGTTAAGACGACTGCATAAATTGAAGCCAATACCGTCCACAACTAACCTTGAGACAGCTTGAGACATGCTTTTATAACGTCCAGGTTTGATTAGTGCAATGCACTTCTTTTTGGAATCAGTCAGAACATTGCACATTTACAACTGGTTCATAATGCTGCAGCCTGATTTTTAACTGGTACAGGCAAAAAAAAAAAAAGGAGTACATTACTCCAGTTCTGGCCTCCCTTTACTGGCTCCTGGTTCACTTTCAAATTCATTTTAAAATCCTTCTGTATGTTTTTAAATCTCTGAACAGTTTTGCCTCCTCCAATCTCGCTGATCTGCTGCAGCCATATGTCCCACAGCGCTCTCTGAGTTCAGCAGACCAGATGCTGTTATTGGTTCCAGGCACTCGTTTTAAGCTCAGAGGTGACAGGACCTTCTCTGTTGCAGGTCCAAAACTGTGGAATGAGTTACCACTGCATGTCAGACAGGCCCCTTCTCTCACTGTTTATAAGTCTCGTTTAAAAACTCACTTGTATGTTTTTGACACAGTGAGTTGATTTTAACCTGTCTGTATTTCATAATGTTAGTCATTTAGTTCTTATCTTTACCTCTGTGGATCTACAGTATGTATTTTATCCTGTGTCCTTTGCTTGTTTTGTTTTTGCTGTACAGCACTTTGGTTGGCCTTGTTGTTGCTTGTAAGTGCTCTATAAAAAAGTGGAATGGTATGGTATTATTATTAACTAATCCTAAGTCTTAATCAATCTTTGCTTCCATTGTAAACCTACAAGTTTCGCAGCTTTAAGATATTTTTTTCTCCAAATTTTTAACAACTTTTCTACATTTTGATTTAGGTGACCCCAGTGAGAAACCGAGACAAATCCAGTCACAGCTCAAAACTATGTGTCCCACAGAACTCCACAGAAACTTGTTGGAGTTTATTATAAAACATTTAAAAGCTTCACTTTCACGGCATGAATTGTGAAGGATGTCGCATGCTCTGAGATGTAACTGGCAGCCGGTCTCACAAGTCCAAGAAGTAAAATACCATTAAGTCTACCTGTTTGTCATGATCATTGGACATGGCATCCTCGGGTGGAGGAATGGCTATGACGAGGCTGGGGGGCTTCTTGCTCTTTAGACGACTATCTGTTTGAGATCCTTTTAGAGGCGGCTCCTCCCCTTCCTGTGAGTCCATCCTGTCAAAGTGCTGCAGATAGAAAAATTATAAAGGATAAATATATTGTGACTATTTTCTCAGATGTACATTTACACACACTTAAACCCACTTTGGACTGATGCAGCACTAAAAATATAGGAAATACCAGTAATTTAAAACTGCTAAGTATTTTTTCCCATTCATTCAACCTTTATTTATACAAGCTAGTCTCAATGAGCCTCGAGGACTCATTCACAAGAGAGACCTGTTTTTAACAAAGAACACAGATGTGGTACAGACAATAGGCAATCATATAAAAAGAATATATAAAATGAAAAGTAAATAGAAGAAATGATATAAAAGCAAATCAAAAACAGCTACATTATAAAGCCATGTAAAATACTAAAAACAGCAACATGTCTGCATTGGTTTTTGCCATGAACTTACCATGTTGTTTTTGCATTCCACTATTTTTGTATAACTGGACAAGATTAACGTATTTTAAAAACTTGGAGCCATTTGAAGAACTGCCTAAATATTGTTTTAAATATATTAAAATGTTTATATTTTATAAGTATTATTTATTTCTTGGTACTCAAAACTTGGCACAAAAACTCACGAGCTGTATCTCAAACTCTACATGCCTCAGTTTGCATGTAAAATGTTAATAAAATTTTAAAAACACTAACAAAGAATGACACAATAGAAAGGGCGGGTGGGAAAAAAGCCTTTGTTTTGAAAACAAGAATAAAAAGGAATTTGCTCAGAGAAGTATTTTTTTCTGCCAGTAAACACAGACTGTCTTAACAATTTGTAAGGCACAGACAGGGGAAGTGTATTTTTATTAGTGCCGCTGTCTCTAGAAGATGTTTAGCAAAGTGTTGAACCCAGACAGCAGACTGACACGAGGAACTTGAGGGTAAAATAAAGAAAACTGATTTATTTAACAGGGGCAGCACGGTGGCGCAACTGGTGGAGCTGCTGCCTCTCAGCGAGCAGGTCCTTGGTTCAAACACCGGTCCGGGGGCCTTTCTGGGTGGAGTTTGCATGTTCTCTCCGTGCATGCGTGGGTTTTCTCCGGGTACTCCGGTTTCCTCCCACAGTCCAAAAACATGCATGTTAGGCTGATTGGTAACTCTAAATTGTCCCTAGGCGTGAGTGAAAGTGTGAATGGTTGTTTGTCTTGTTTGTCTCTATGTGGCCCTGTGATGGACTTGCGACCTGTCCAGGGTGTACCCCGCCCCTCACACAGTGATTGCTGGACATGGGCACCAGCGACCCCCGTGACCCAAAATGGAATAAACGGGTAAAGATAATGCATGGATGGATGGATTTATTTAACAAAACACAAAAACAAGAAGTTCACGAAGCAGTGAAACTTACACAAACCAGAGAGACACAGAGGAAGCTGAACATGAGGGCTTGGGAAGCACAATCCACTGACCAGGGACAAACAAAATGTCAGGATATTTAAAGAGACACTAACGAGACAATATGACGAACACCTGGAGTGATTAGGACTGGGAACAGGTGAAGGTAGCAGACTGAAGAAAAATACTGAAGAGGAAGAAATAAGAAATGACACTAGAAGACAGGAGAAACTAAAACACACAGATATGAAACTCTAACCACATCATCCTATCCCATGATCCTCCTCTGTCACACCAATCCTCATTCCCTTTAACTCTGTGATCGTCCACTCTTTCCTGACAGCTCCTCATCCAACACCCCCACTGTCCCCCTCTGCTCATGTTCAGATCTTCTCGGCCTCGTCTCTCCAACTTTATCTCCAAACCAAACATTCATTCAACCTTTATTTAGACAGGTTAATCCCATTGAGCCTCGGGCACTCATTTACAAGAGAGACCCGATTACATCACAGCAGGTCTCATCTTATAAACCTTCATTTTGTTCTTACAAACAAACAAAAAAATTGTAGAAACACTTTGTCTTTCATCCGAAAAACTGAAGAAGTCCGTCTTCATCTTTCGGATGAAAGACAAAACATTTCTACAATGTTTAGTTTTTTGCACCTGTCCAGATGACCTGACTTAACCTTTTTAGATTTTTCTGGATTAATGAGCATGCATCAGGATCTTGTGCTAATTGTTCACATGTATTCCTCTTGTTTCTACCGACTTGAGTATCCCCACCTCTCCAGGCTCTCTGTTGCTCCTTACTCTCACTCCAGAGGTGAAGAGGTGAAGGTTTTCAATGGAATCCAACAAGGTTGAGTCAGGTCCTCTGGACGGTTTCGTTTTGTTGAAATGTTTCGTCTTTTATCCAAAAGACTTCTTCAGTCTGAGGAGCCACAACAAACTCAGTCTAAAAAACAGCACCTTGACATAGTGGGTCAACCGGTTTGATGGTGGTTCTAGGGTGGCGGGGTGTCCTCCATGCTGCAGGTTTGTCTCTGCTGCTCACACCCGGGCTCACTGTGAACACAACCCGCTCTGCTCCGATTGGGTCAAACTGTGGCTCTGGTTCTCTTTATTGGTTGAAACTAGTGCCAGTTTAATCCCTGGATCACCATTCGATTGGATGGCTTTAACAAGACCACAACAAAACACTTTTTCTTCCCCCTCCTCATTTTTACAGATGACAGAAATCCGCCCCAGCGATGGAGAACTTTAATCCATGTGAATCTTATCGTTAGTGTTTATTAAAGGCCTGTCCTGAACCGTGTCACATGCACACATACATGAAAGTCACAAATAACAGCAGTGAAGTTGATGTAAGTGCATGAGCTTAACGTAACGAGGCTCATCACTCGGTCCACGGAGTGACTACACAATAATAACAAACTTACTTCTTCCAGACTGTAATCAATCAAGTCCAGCAGTGGAGCAAATGGAAAGTCTATTCCTGGAGCTCAGGTTGCATTGTGGTATTACAGAGTATTTGCAGAAAAATCCAAACCAAGTCTGATATGAACCCTGAGATGTAAGATACAAGCCTTGGCCCAAACATCCATTACGGACTGGAAAGCCTTCAGTGCTGTCCTGGAGTTGTGGTTTCTAAAAATCAATGCAGGCCAGGGTGTCTGTGACAGGAACCGCAGCAGAGTAGAAATCTGACACCGGTTCAGTTAATAGCCTAGCTTCCACTACAGAGCTGAGGAATGGTTACATGAGGGCACACCATATTGTCCCCGACACTTACTACGGTCCCAAAAACACAATTTTAACTTTTTAATTTATTTATAAAGATTATTTTCAATCAGACTTGTTGAATAATTTAATGCTGGGATGATTATGTGATTTAACTCTTTTGGAGACAGATGTCTGTAAATCCAGCCTGTGGTTCAGAGGTGCAGCGGGTAGAGGCTGAACACCCCCACTCCACACTTACATAATGAAATAGCAAAGAATTTGGCTAATGGACAGTGCTCAAATGATAGAAAGACTGCTGCTGACCACAGATCATCAATTCAAACAGTCCAGAAGCTGTTGGCAGGCTCCACACAGGGAGTACGAGACTATGCATTTTCCAGTGATTCATTGGCAGCAAAACATATAAAGTTAAACAAAACTAAACAAATGTAAGCCAGACTCACAGCACAGCATTGATCTCAGCAGCTCTAACTCTACACTGACATTTGTGGAAAGTTTTAAACCAAAAGTGAAGTTGTGAAATCCAACTTTTACCAACTCAGACTTGTTGCCAAGGTGAAGCCCTGTAAGACTTGGGGAAAGTTATTCAAGCATTTATTACTTCCTGTCTAGACGGCTGTAGTTCCTTGTATGTTTAGATAGATCATCTCTGCATCAAACTACGAACCGTTCGGAGGCAGCAGCTCGTTTTCTGGCTGGTACAGAAGATGAGCTGCGGCCTTACAGGCAGCTGTGGCTCAGCAGTTAGAGCAGCCGTCCTACAATGAGAGTCAGTGGTCTGATTCCACCAGGATGCTGAAATGTCCCGTGGCAATGCACAAAGGAGCCTCTCATTGCATCATGTGACACCTCCAAGTATGGATGTGACGTAAAGCAATGACTAGTCTTGACAGAATAATTTATTCAGGTTAGCGTAGTGCTGTATGCATGTGTGTGGACGGATGCACGAAGGTACGGATTGTGATGTGAAGCTTTTTGATTAGCTTGGTTGGGTAGAAAGGTAGACAGTAAATGGTAAATGGACAGTATTTATATAGCTCCTTTCTATCTCAAGATACTCAAAACGGTTTACTACACAACCCGTGCCCTCATTTACCCATTGATACAGCACTCTACTAGATCTGTACAAAGACTGATCAGAGCTTCAGATCACATTCATACACTGATGGGACGCACATCAGAGGCAATGAGGGGTTCAGTGTCTTGCCCAGGGACACTTCAGCATGTGACTGCTGGTGGAATCGAACCCCCAGCTCTTGCATTGGAGGTCGACTGCTCTAACCACTTAGCCACAGCCGCCCCAGTACAGTCCATTTACCATTTTACAATGATGCAAAAACACGTAACCCCTGTCTTCACATCTCTTTATTGACTTCTTGTCAATGTTGACATTAATTCAAATTTTTATTGGTAACTTTTAAAGTTTTAAATAGTCTTTCCCGTCATATTTTATAGATCTTAACAAAAAAAAAACACTCCAATCAACCAGAAGTTTCTCCTGGACCTGCAGAGAGGTCCAGGTCAGGAGATCCAGGTTTAAATAATCTATGAAACAATCTGGACTTGAACTACACCTTTAAATCCTTGTTCAATACCCTCATGCATGCTCAATAATCCAGGTAGAAAAATCTAAAAAATTTAAGTCAGGTCCTCTGGACAGGTTCAAAAATACATCTTGTTTAATACATTCTTTTTGTGTGTGTGTGTGTGTGGGGGGGGGGGGGTCTGATTTTAGAAGGTACAGTTTTGAAAGTGTGTTGTAAAATACAACCAGAATAAATGAGCCGAGTGTTGTTGTCTCAGATTCTGTGTTGTCTTGACAACAGAAACAAAAGAAGTAAAAGGTACAAGTCTGCCTTCTATAAAAAGACTAGAAGATTAAGTTTCACTGAAGCACAAAGGGCAAAATAAAAACAGAGTTCACACTCATTGTTGGCT